TAACATAATCCAGCAAGACATAAACACACATTTTACACACAAGTTAATGAAAGGATTCATTTGCTTGTTCCTGTTAGAAGTTTATGGCATGTTTTACACTAATGCTCGTAACTCTTTTCAGCTGTTCCCTTGTCCCGTGGTTCTTAATCTTGACAGTATCCAAAGGGGAAGTCTGTGTCCTCGTTTTCAGACACTCATAAATAAGCATTAGCACCGCAATCTCCGGCAGCTCCGGCGAGGAAAGAAGCTGCTTATTTAACGAGTGTGTGAAGACGGTAAACTGCTTATTACTGCCGTTTTGCAAAAAGGGAGAAAATCGAGAAATTTGTGCTCGTCGAAGGTTGAAAGAATGGAAAAATAATAGTTTTCACTTTAATCAATGCATCCTGTGGAGTGGTCTCTGGCTAAGCGCTGGTTTCGAATCTGGAACTAGAGGCAGTGTTGGAACAGCCAGCAAGTGTGACATTGTTCAGAGAAGAGATACTTTAAAGCTCAAATGCTTCCCAATCACTTCCCCTGTACGAAACCTTGGCAAACCTGTGGTAATCTCCTCTAAACACTTTTATTAAGACTTCTAATTGCAGCTCAGGCTTTCTCCCTTCAGGAAAACAGGCAGAGGCACAGAAAAAGGGCTTATTCACCCCACAACAGGCTGCAGGCGCAAGGCGAGGCAGAGGCACAAGGCGCTTTAGTACACGGCAGCTATACAATGGCGCTCAGCTGAGACATTTCTCTGATTTGTGGCATCAATCTCACTGAAAGAAACACGGCATCCTTTAGCAAACAGCCCAGTCACATCCAGGTAAAGCAGCAGGAATTTTAACCGGCAGAAACAAAATTCAGTATGTTATTTCCTGTGACAGGAACAGCTACTACAACGCAACTCTTTCATACTATTTCATACCCACACATTCGACCGGAACAATGAAAGCTTAAGAAGCAATCAAATCTAAGCCTTAAGGAAAGCTTTCATTTCATATGATCACAAAAGAGCCAGTCATTTCCGTGGTTATTTCCTCAGTCAGACGGCGGTGTTCTACTTATTTATTTATTTAGTTTTTTTTGCACATTAAAGGATCTGTGTTAATGCACTGGCATCGCCCAGGCACTCGGAAAGAAGAGAATATGCTACTTAAAAGATAATGAGGAAACAATCTTGGCAGATGCGATTGATCCCACTGTTTTATAGCACAGGGATTATCAAAGGATTATCTAACAATAATTATGCACACAAGGTCGACACATTGCTTTCATGTTCACGCTGAGAGTGGCAGCCAGGTGTGTGTGATAGAAAAATAGTACAGTGAAAATGGGTAAGGCTGCGCGAGGGTGTAAATGTGGCTATCACCGTGTAGGCATATGTGTGCAAAAAGGGGACGTAAAGCTTGCTGGCAACCCGATCATCAAAACATCGCACAACCCAACAGTCACTTATCAGCACAGAACACATGCCAGGAAATTCAAAGCAAGAAAAAAGAGATATCTACAATGCCAGCAGCAACACCAACTCATGGGATTCCCCTCCACCCACCCTCTACATCCCCACCCCTCGAACGGAATCTGGAAGTTTGGGATGAGCCGAGGACAACCAGGAAACTCCCTCTTGGTGTCTGCGGGGTGTGGATATAAGGGGTGATTTCTCCCAGTGGAGTTAATTGCTGATCAACACACCTTTGCAGCTCATTCACTGACCTCACATATACAACACAGATAGCACAGATAAAGACGAGCATTCCTGTGATATCACATGCATGAATGTATAATTGCTTTTTCTCTCTAACCACTGCGTTCGGCTATTACTGCAAAACCTCCAGGGGATAAGAAAGCACAAAAGGTATTGTTAGCTTTACTAAATGTGCTTCGTAGCAATCTTTTAATAAATCGGTCTCTGTTCTGTTGTCCGTGAAACAGTAGCTTTTTTTTCTTTTTGGATTTTGATTGATGTTAAAATCTAAAACAGTGGATAGAAAATAGAGTCAGTTTCTTTTTTGACTATTGTGCTCAAGACTGAATACTGTTATCAAAGCTTACACATAGTTTTTACTTTCTTTTGAAACAACTGACAAACAATAGAATGTCAAAGAATCAGAAGGACACAGTACATGACTGGTTTTCTTTGAGTCAGACTCAATACGACCCATACTAAACTGTATCAGCTCGGTAGACAAGGTGGACTGGTATGTTGTTATTAATAGGCTATTAGTGCCAGCCACTTGAACCTGTTCAAGTGCACATTACCACGGATGCATAATCACCCAGTCACATGGCAGCAACTCAATGCATTCAGGCATGCAGACGTGGTCAAGACGACCAGCTGAAGTTTGAACTGAGCATCAGAATGGGGAATAAAGGTCACTGAAGCGACTTTGAACATAGTATGGGTGTTGGTGATAAACGGGCTGTTTGAGTATTAAAGAAATTGCTGATCTACTAGGATTTTCTCACAAAGCCATCTCTGGGGTTTAAAGAGAATGATCCAAAAAAAAGGAACGGGAAACTGAGGCTACAATTCGCACGGGCTAACAAAATTGGACAATAGAAGATTGGAAAAATGTTCCCTTGTTTGATGAGTGTCGATTTCCGCTTTGACATTCTGATAGTAACAACAAAGCATGAAAACATGAAGCCAGCATCAACAATTCCAGCTGCTGGTGGTGTAATGGTGTGGGGGATATTTTTCTGGCACACTCTGGGCTACTTAGTACTCTCTGGGCATCATTTAAAAGCCACAGCCTAGCTGAATATGGCTGTTGACAATATTTATCCCAATATTTTACCCATATTCTGATGGATCTTCTGATGGCTGATTCCAGGAGGATGAAGCATCACATCACAAACCTCAGATGTGATGCTGCTCCATTAATATGAACCCACATTTCTGGGGAATGCTTCCACCTGAATCTATGCTGTGAGGAATTACGACAGTTCTGAAGACAAAAAGGGGGCTAATCCAGCACTAGCAAGGTGAAACTGATGAAGTGGCTGGTGAGTGCATGTTAATTGGAACAGTCCTGAAAGCAGCCAGACAGATGGAAGAGTAACGGACACTTAGTGTCTGATTAGCTGGAGCAATGGAGGCAGTTTTGATTCACAAAGTTCAATTGAACACTTATTGCGATAGAGAGCTGTTGCTACTGTAATAATGTGTGCAGGAACAGAAGTCAAAGAGACATATTTATGACTATTACACAGTCTGGGAGCAAGTGTGTAGATGTAGAAACAGCCTGTAGATATAAGACATTCAAACATTCTTAAACACAACACACACACACACACACACACACACACACACACACACACACACACACACACACACACACACACACACACACAGAATCTGCAGATAAAGAGTTTCTTTGAAAGTATTCATCTTTGAGAGCATCCATCCATTTTTCTTAAGCCTATCAAGTTCAGGGTCACGTGGGCACTGAAGACTCAAAGCTGCCAGGGTATTCCATAGTGACTCGACATTGATAGTTTGCAACATAACCGCTCACACCCTTATGGATTTTTCCCTTTAGCTTTAGCTGAAGTAAAGCCATTGCACCAGTCAAATCGACCTCTCATGCATGTCTTTGATTTGTGGGAAGAAGCTGAAATACCCAGAAATAACACGGGGAGAACATGCAAGCACCACACAACTTGAAACTTGTGAACTTGATACAACAAATCCCCAAACCTCACTGCAAATACGCATTTATTGTCAACCATTCTCTGAGACAGGAAAAATATGAAGATTGCACCATGTTGTCAACACCATAAGCAATGCTCTATTCATCTCCACCGTGACAGGGCATCACATTGTGGCGGATATGTAATAACCTCACCAGACAGCATTAAAAATATATGGGAACACATGAATTCGGGTGAAAGCACCCTTCAAAAGAAATCCTTTTTTTTTCTTGTAAGTTGGCAACTATATCACACAAGTCCAACATATCCAGAATATTTAATTTCACTTCACTTACCCTAAAATCAGCAAGTAAGCTCTGTGTTCGCACGAAGATGGTAATCAACTCATTGAGACAACTTAAGATTTCCCAATCTAGCTACGCTGGGAGTGGTCACATGAAAGGTCAAGTTTACTGGCAGCAATCACACTGTGTCAAGATGATGAAACAAAAATATTAGAAAAATATTGCAGCCAAAAAAAACACTATGTAGCAGTATTGTATTGAAGTTTATTTACTCATAACAAAAGTTGCCTCAAAAGCACTGTCTGAAAATAGCTACGCATTTGAAGCATTTTTGACCAGTAAGACTTGTTATTAAAATAAGTTAGTAAAACTCTCTGAAAACTATAGACACTCTTATTACTGATTTCCAGGATTTGGGACACTACTTTCCTGAGAACGGACCTGATAGCAGAAAGTGAATTTGTATGAGTTCATCTCTTATCTCAAACAAACTAGCTCTGGGGAAGGTTAAGTGTCCAGGATAAGCTGGTGTTGTATGCTGGTAAGAGGTAAACCACCTATGTAAGAAAAAACCTCATAGGTAAAGCTGACGTTTCCTCTCTAAGCGCCGTAATACTGCCTGCTGATCCACTTTCATTGGACTGCCACCATTTCTATCCAACTTGAGCCCCAACAACACTTGCTCTGATTCCAAACATTTTCCATGCTGAATTAGCATATTATTGCAGATATTAATAATCGCTAGATAAGTATCCATCAGCTGTCCATGCTCGTCAGATACTGAATACTCATTTTCATGCCAGTTTTGACCCACGAAATGTAACATGCTTGTGAGCATATATGGTTTAACAATGCAATGGAGGATTATGTAACGCTGTGACATTACAGCGCTTTAGTTTTTGACCATCAGGAAATAAATATATTAAAATGATCTACAAAACTGATGGGACTGATGAGACAGTTAAAAAATTGAAGCCAACGGAGTTTGACTAACGTAGCTGTGAGAAATCAATGTGTTTGTGTCAGATCTGTTGGGGGGAGGTGTGTAGGTGTGTCGATGCCACAAAGGGGTGTGAGGCTCACCAGTTGTGGATGAGATGTTGACATCGATGCTGATCTCCGGGATGCCTCCTCCCTTCAGAGCAGCCACGCAGGTGTACGTGCCGAAATCAGTGAATTTCAGGTCTATGATGTCCAGGTTGGTGGTTCCAGGTGAGATGTCAGGATCTGTCTGGGTGATGACCATACGCTCTGAGCTCCGCAGGGCACGGCCATTCTTCAGCCAGCTAAATGTCAGCTCCTCTGGAGGTGTTGCCTCCACCTGTGACATTAAAAGGCTTTATTTTTATTACACTCACTAACATTAGCTCAGTATTATACGCATAACCATGTGTGCTTAGTCTCCCGGTGTTTTCTGTTACCGTACCTGACAGGATATCTTTACTTCCCGTCCAATCTGGATGTGGTCATCGTTGTGGTAGGGATCTGGAGTGATCCAGAATCGTCCCTTTTTCAAAGCTGCAATTGAAAAAAGAAATAATTTGATAAGAATCACATTTATATTTATATTTATACACTTCACGTGTTGATTCTGCAGCATGGTGCTGGAACAAACCCTGAGATATTCACAGTGGGATTTGGCTTTGGTTGTTATATTGATGTGTTTTTTGAGATCTAATCCCAAAGACAGGATTTTATAGATTTTTAAATTTTTTTCCCTGCACTTTTACTTTGCTCAACGTCCACACTTGAGCTGTAAATCACTGTTATGCATCTCAAGTGAATGCGCTATAAAGCTAAGTGTGTGTGTGTGTGTGTGCGCGTACCTGTTCAGTCAAACACACATTGTTCAAAAAGGCAGTGAAAGCCTGCATCAAGTCACAGCTGCCTGAAATACCTGATCTGAGCAACTAACTGAGCAAAATATGATATTTGCTCCCCAAGACGTGTCATTTCTGGAGCAGGGTTGTGAAATTGTAAAAGCATCTTCAACCCAAGGTGTAAGAGTAGACGATGACAGGACATCTGCAACTGGTTTACGTAAACAACATCTGAAATTTGATCTTTTGATGGTGCAGCAGGGTCAAACAGAGAACTTAAAAGATAAAGCAGAAACCTGTGTCTGTTTGAAAGCCCAACGCTTTGAACCGGCATTAATATTGATAGCTACACATGGAAGAATCCTACGGTACTGAAGCAGGTTCACGCACACTACAAGCAAACACACACTGTGAAATTGGAGAGATACCTAACAAAATATCCACCATTTCTAATCCAATTTGGTTTGCAAACTCCATTTTCAAAGCATAGCTTCTCTGAAGAGAAAAAAGAAGATGATTTCATTATAATGCATGCTGTATTGGTTTCAAACCCCGCGTCTACTGTTCAATTCATCTCCTCAGCAAAAAAGCTGACGGCACCATGGAAATCTTTTCATCTAGCAATTCCCAAGTGACATTATCATATTCAGTTTGGTAAAGGGAAAACGAAAACAAAACCTGCGTGTCAGATTTAAACACAGGAAATTCAATGTGCAAAACATTGTGACGCCTGCCAAGCTGCAAACTGAAGGAGAGACGAGTGACACACGCCTCCTTGACATGATCTTCCTCCTCACGTTTGAAATCAGTGTCGGCAGGCACAGAATCCTATTTCTGATGCATGCCAGATACAAATATTACAATCATGTCAGCGCTCTCCAAACACCAATGTGCATTTGCATTCACTCTTGTATCCCATATATCCTTATTCTCCAAGGCACTGCCGATCAATCGTGAAGTATAATTCCATAGCGCTGGCATGGAAACTGTGACAATTGACATTATACGGTGTGCATCCTTATATCTGTGACCTTTATGGATACAAAGCATTATCAGGAACCTAGATTCATTTCCTGTTTAGACTCAGCTCGGCAACACATTGAACAACTCCTTTGTGCATTCCTTAAACTCAACACAGAGAATAAGGTTATTGAGAAAATATAGAGTTCACAGTTAAACCCAGTTTGTGAGTGTATGTGTAAGGGAACACATCAGACATGTCAGAGACATCCAGAGATAGAGACGCGTTTACATTCCGACAGTGTGAAAAGCCTTTTGGTGTCCCAGCAACATCCTGAACAGAGTTGGCTACCACATCTTAAGTATTATCCTATCCACACACACAATTTGCAAACACACATTTCCACATAACCATGTGAGTGGCAGTGTTGTCATAGATGACAGTGGATAAAGATTTGGATTACATGCAAACGTCTTTTTCACATTCCCACAGCTCAGATGCATTCTTCTCCTTTCTTCACTGCAACAAAATGAGGCATTTAACAGTCGCAGGTCGGACTCTACTTCACTGTGAGGCTGGGTTTCATGAAGACGTCTGTCAGGGGGTCGACCCCCACCGTCTTCTAAACTACACTCATGTCAGTGAGTAAATATAACATTAAATATACATTTGCTCATTAAAGGTCACTACTCCAGATACATTAGCTCTGAAAGTACCTGCAATATTTATATAAGATCCCATTAATACTCTAAGGAAAAAAAAACCCAAAACATTATTGGTCTGCTGTGTCTCCTCTATCACTGGACCTTTTTATATTAAAATGCACTATAATTCTAGTGCAGATACACTCAACTGACCACATGAATCATGCGTTCATGGATGAGAAGGCCCTCTGTTGCGGTGTCTGATGCAATGTGGAGCTGTGGACCAAAAAAAAACTAAACAAAAAAAAAACATTTTAGTTACTTGCATCCACTTCATATCTGTTAAATTTAGCTGATGATTCACTGGCCTGTCCATGAATGCATTTATTTTCTCCAGTGATACATTAAACAAAAAGAAAACGAAGCGGTTAAAGGTGTTCTAGATGCAGCATGAAAAACGTCAGCTTAGAAAAGCACTCACAGCACTGAGCAGAGTGTAACTGTATGAGAATGAACACATTAATGACTGTGTTAAAAACAATGCCGCAGTAATGCTGCAAGCTTTTAAGTCATAAAATAGATCTTCATGCTGGTACGAGCTGCATATCAGTGGAGTTCACTGATGTAGACAGATGAAAGCATAACACTAAGTATAAGCACAAATTATGCACCTATCCATCCGTAAAATAAGAATATAGTTTCAATTTTACATCTTGAACCATGGCTTTGAACCACAGCTAATTTTGCTGTATGTTTTACAGGGAAAATTGGAAATAGGTGCAGACATGTACCGAAATGTGGAAAAATACATTGGAATATCCTACATAAGGCAAAAACAGAGTTTGTACAATTGTAACAAGGTTGAAAGTTAATATTTGCTATGACCACTTTTATTCTTTCACGATAGAGGCAGGACAATGATTTTATACAGAGTGGCCCAAGATCATCAGCTAAAACTGCTTATCCTGCTGACTCAGTCCCCTGTTGCTTGTGCTGGTAAAGCTTTATTAAAGACTTAATGAATGTTAGTAAGTTTCTTTAAGTAAATCTCTTGCATCAACTCCCTACTTGTTGCCTTTATTGAGCCAGTTATGACACTACTTTTACTAATGTTGACGTACCCCTCCCTTATTTTTGCATAGAGAAGCAGTGCACATCAAAACAGCCAGCAGTGCATATGTGCACTCATGCATATTTCAGAAATGACTCCTTCCAAGTCTCCTCCACATTCAAAAATCCTTTCCTGCCTTTTTATCTGACCATTAATATTGAATAGCAAGTAGGCATTCCTTTAAATCAGCTACATTTGTGTACGAGAGAGATAAGTGGGCATTACTTCTCCAAGGTTGTAGTAAATTTTGCTGGACAGCTGCAGTGACTAAAATGGCTCCTGCTCCTTTATGCATGGGAGAGAATCTAAAACTGGAAGTATTTTAAAAGGAACCGTGATGAGTGTGTGAGGTGAGAAGTACAGAGATGGGAGACTTTATCGGGTGACGGTGCGTTGTCACTCTTCCCTCCCCAGTCCGGATAACCAATTCATGGCAAAAGTCACATGAATGTTTTATGAGGGCTTTGCTCGGAAACAGAACTTTCCCATTTGCTCTGGTGGCAAACTGTGCCCCCGACTACTGCTACACTATTTTCACAACATCATTAATATCTTACAAGAGTGCTATTGTGTGTGTATATACAGTTGGAGTCTGTGCATAAATACATATATAAATATGTATGCACCTGTAAAAAGACAAATTGTAAAAAAACGTGTGCATTTCAAAGCTATAGCCCTACCTCTGTAAACTGTGAGAAAACTTTTTTAAACTCAGTGCCCACTGACCAGCTTTTACTGTCAGGAGTATCATACAGTCATATCTGATCAAATCACTTTTATCTGTCAAGATTAGGTTTTACGATGCAACTACATGGTTCAGGCTGTTTTGCAGAAAGATGGTGGATTGCGTGAAGCAGGTATTTAGCTGAGAATGAATGGACAAATTAGACACATAACACATACTGTGTCTCAAACGGTGCACTTTTATACTGACCACTGCTATTTTGAGTATAAGTGACTTCACACTGAAAGGTACAGCTGTGTGAAAAGACCCAAATAGTGCGCTTACAAGAAAAAAGGTTTGACACATACTGTGGTATTATTTGGATATTTATGTGGGATAAATTGCGATATAATGAAAGAAAATGTAGTGGTATGCAGTAAGAGACCTGACAGGTTAGAAAAACTGCATACACGTTGCAAGTGACGTGGGAACTAGAGACCATGGAAAGTGAAAGATATTGTGTAAGTTCAAGTGAATTGGGCGAAATAACTGCCAGTGAAGGGAAGTGGGTGGAACCAAAGATAAACTTTTCTCAGCTTCCAGGTGAGTGACTGAAGCGACCACCAATGAGAGTGAAGAATAGTACTGATTGAAATATATGAGGTTTACCTAGGCAACAGGAGCCTGGAACATCCGCAAGGGACCAGCAGTCACAAGCAAAGCGATGTCTGTTGAGCAACAGTGTGTAAAGAACGCAGGTAACATCAGAGTCCCAGTTCTCTGGTAAGTGCACAACTTATCATGCCCTATTTGAAACAATATCCAGCCTCAGTTTCCAGTTTATGTTGCACTTTCCGTACCGCGGAGCGAGTAGCTTGTGAGAGTGAGTGACTGCTAGAAAAACAACCACAAAGAGGTTTTTGCCAACCGGTGGAGTAATATACATTTTTCCCTATCAACTTGCCACAGGTGTGTGTGTGTGTGTGTGTGGGGGGGTGTCTGGGGCTTTAGCACTTGATTTCCCTGCAAATGCCATCAACTTCCAGTAACCTCTTGCCAGCCGTTTGGGGAATTAAAATTTTCCCTCATGACCAGCGGTTGCCAGTGGTCTCCAAGCTGTGTGACTGGTTCTTTATTTACTTGATCCTGCATTGTCATCCTGATTGTCACTTAGAAAACCTTACTTGCTGATATGGACCACAATCTATAGCTAATAAGTGAGAGTCAGACTGGTTTACTACTTTTATCAAGCTCCCATAGTTAAGTTATGATGTCAGGGAAGTGTTTTTTCAACTCTGTAGGGAGAGGACAAGAACAT